TGGCGCCGGGGCCTGGGGGGGCGGGCTTACCCCTGCGCTGGCCGGCCCCGCCCCCGGAGCGCAGGGGGTGGAGCCGCCAGGGCAGCAGGTGAGGCGGGTCGGAAGCGGCGCTGCTGAGCCAACCGGCTGCTGAGCGTTTGTCGAAGCAGCCAATGGGCGATGCGGAGGCGGTTTAAAATCTGCCGGCGGTTGGGGCGCCGGGCAGTGCGGCTCTTCTCTGTGCGGTGGTGGGTCTGCGGACCGGCCTGCCCCCACCTGAGCCGAGCCCTCGTCTTCGTGGGTGCCGCTGTCCGGCCTCGGCGCTGCCGGTAGCTCCTGAGGTGAGCCGGGGGGGCTGGGAAGGCGGAGGGCGCTACCTGGTTAAAGCCGGGGTCTCCGCCGAGGGCGGGAGGAGAGGGCGTCCGGAGCTGTCACCAGAAGGTGGCTTAAACAAGGGGAGCGGCGGGATCTGTGGCTGTAAGTCTTGCTTCGACTTTGTGCTTGAGCTTTTGACTGCAAGCCGCACCGGTTAGCAGGGGGTTTTTCTGCAGGCCTCTCTTGAACGAGGAATCACCTGCCCAGGTGTGTCACGGCAGGGATGAGCTCCAGGTGGGGCTGCCTGGCTGTTCCTAACGGTGCAAGGGAGTGCTCTCATCTGTTGCCGCAGATGGGGTGGAGAAGTGGTAGTGAAGTAATCCACTTGTATAGGGTGTTCTCTAATGGTTTCTTTCTCTGGTGAAAAGGTGTCTCTGCTGGTAACTTGGCATTACTCTTGGCTGCTCAAGTGCTACAAGTTGAGCTAAGGACTGGATTGCTAAGCTAGGAGATATATGCTTTTCCTGTACTGAGGAAACAGTTAAACACCACAAAGAAGTGATAAAGCAAACCAAAGTATTAGATCTTTCTGTGTAGGATTGCTGGTGAGACCTTGCTACTTTCCCCAAAATCGTACAAGCTCCTTTGAGAATATTGGCCTGCCATGTGCACTAATAGTGCCTTCAAATGTAAGGGTCTGTAGCTAAACTACTATGAAATGGTGTGAAGTATGGGTTTGTTCCCCCTCCTCTGGGGACTGGCACATGGCAGCTATGTTGCCTTTAATGTAGTTTGTTTATAAAGTGTGCTGTGGTGGAAGAAATGACAAGAATGATTTCCTCTTTTTCCTGTATGGACTTTCCAGGGTGGTCTCATCAACCTGAAGATGGCAACGCTAATCTTTATTGACAAGGAGAATGGTGAAGTTGGTGCTGCTAAGAATCAGCTAAGACTCCCTTCAGGATCTTGTGCGTATATGCTGCCTTAAGTCAGTAGGGGATCAAGGGAAGAGCATAAATCCTGTTTTGTTACTCACTGTTTTGAACAGTAATAGCTCTCTATTATGTCCAATTATCTAACTGATTCTGCTAAGCTTACCAATTACTATAAAAATGAAAATGGCTCTGTGCTTTTATCATAGATGGGGCTTATGCTCCTGAGTTATAAATGGTGAGCAGTGATTTTTATGACAACTGGTTTTCCAGGACATGTGCTTACTGAAGTAAGCTTTAGGGTTGATATGGTGCTAAAGTTTGCTTTTTTCTTCCCCCACTCCAGCAAAAGTCTTATCTGAAAGAACACAAGTTCACACTCCACTTCCTAAAAAAGCAATCAGTACACCTCCAGCCACATCTCACTCTGTAAGAAGGGCTCTTGGAAATGTGAATAGAACTGAAGGAGTCATGAGCAAAATGGAAAAGATAAGACAGAAAAATCAGCCTTGCACTGCAAACAAAGTGAGTATAACACCCTTCTACAGGGTTGAGGTGAGGAATGGGAATGGATAGTTTATCTATTGTTGTGGCTTAACCCTGGCAGGCAGCTAAGCACCACACAGCTGCTTGCTCATTTTCCCCTCAGTGGGGTGGGGGAAAGAACTGGAAGGGTAAAAGTCAGAAAACTCATGGACTGGGATTAAGACAATTTAATAATTCACAATCTCAAGGAAAAACAAAACCAACTTCTTGCAACCAGCTGACTGATGCCTTGCTAGTCCCTGAGCAATGGCAGCCTGGGCAAACTTCCCCACCAGTTTTCATTGCTTAGCATGATGTCTTATGGTATGAGATATCCCTTTGGTCAGTTGGGGTCAGCTGTGCTGGCTGTGCCCCCTCCTAACTTCTTGTGCACCCCCAGCCTACTCACTGGTGGGGTTGTGAGAAGCAGAAAAGGCCTTGATGCTGTGTAAGCACTGCTCAGCAATAGCTAAAACAGCTGTGTGTTATCAACACTGATTTCACCATGAAGCCAAAACATGGCATCCTATGAGCTACTAGGAAGAAAAATAACTCTCTCCTAGCCAAAACAAGCATACCTACATAGGCACAAGGAGTACAACAGCTTAGGGGGTACTTAATGGCAAAGAAGTGGCTCTAGAGAAAATAGTCTGAGTTAATATCTTCTTCACATGTTAAGTATCAGGAGTTTAATATTACGAGCCTAAATGTTCTAGTGCTGTGACTTGTTGCCACTGTATATAGTACTGCACTATGTAAACTCAGCTGAAGCATTTGCCCATCTTGGCTTATTTGTGTTGAAGGTATTGGAATTTAGGCTTGACTGAGAACTGCGTGGCAGGCATGCTTGTCTGTAGACCTGTGCAGCACAGGAAAGCCACTACAGTGGGAAATTACAGTAGCTCAAATAATGTGACTTTCTCTTCTTAAGATTACTGAAAAGACTGCTGGATTAGAAAGCTGTGATGCAGTGGCTGAAGAAGACTGGCCAGAAATAGAAAATATGTTTTCTTTTGATCCTCGAGGTAAGAACTATTGGTGTAATTATTAAAATGAACCATTAAGCTTTCCTGAGTGTTGATGTTGTTGTAAGACTTTGGTCAAGCTGTTGTGGCAAACAAGCTAGCATTGCATTTCTCCAGAGTCCTTTCTTAACCGTAAGGGTGCTTGCTACTTCTGAAATACCATCTCATTCTTGTGTAAATATTTCTAGCTGCAGTAGCTGTGCTCCATATATGTAGTAGTCAGAGTCCATTATTATGGTGGCAGGAAACTAGTTCCAAATAACCATGCTATAGCCTCTTAATTCATTAAATGCAACTAGTAGACAAGTATTCAAGATGGTAATTTGTAACTGAAGAGATTCCTACTGCTGTAGGATATAATAGTTGAAGATGAAACTTGTAAAGCTGTTCTTACAATACCTGCAATGGGCTGTGCTATCTCAGTCTTTCAAAGTGTGTCCTTAAACCATCCAGTTCATGTGGAAGTGAGTGTGCAAAAAGTACTGTACCAAAGACTACTTCAGTGTTGGTGAAACATGCTGTGCTTAATGAAGTTGACTTGGTGTAGTGATTGGAAAGAAATTACTGAAAGCTCCTGCTTTACATTAGCAGCTATGTTATGCAGTTTAGTCTTTTGATAAGTGTTAATGTATGGGATTTTTATGGATAACTGAGGTGTAACTGCAAATAAATACCCTATAAGAGGGGTCTGTTGGATTGTGTTTTGGACCTGCTCCTGCTTCATTTAATCTAGGACACTGTACAGCTTCCCAGGTTACTATGCACTATTACTAAACTAGAGTCTCTCTTTCTCAAACAGACTTTGAGAGCTTTGATCTTCCTGAAGAGCACAAAATAAGCAATATCAACCTGTGTGGTGTTCCCCTGATGATATTTGAAAGGACATATGACAGCTGTGTAAACATGGTTCCTTCACCTGTGAAGATCAAGGAGACTTCATGGGAGTCTAGTAAGTGGAAATTTAGCATGATTTTCAGTACATATAGTGCTCATTAGTGGTTTGGGAGGAAAGCTAGTTGGCTGCAGTAGTGAACTGCCATTGCTGTCCTAACTACCAGAATAGCATACTAGCATCAAACAGCTTTTGGTGTATAGTCAAGCTGAATTTAACTTGTCAACCCTACTAGTACAGGTAGTTGTATCAAAGTGATGTTGCTCAGCAATCTTTTGTAGTTCATTGCTAACTGATCAGTTAGGTGGAATTGGCTTATGCAATCAAAAAATATTTCCCTTAGTCATTCAAGAGGCTTATGCTAATCCTCTGGGAGCTAGCTTATGTTGGAGAGTATAAATTCTGGGTTTCATGAGAAACTGATTTGCTCTATTTCTACTTTCAGACTTGTTACAATCAACTGCTGACTTCCTTGCTACCCTGGATGAGATCATTGACATGCCACCTCCTAATTATGACCTTTAATGCATATTCTGAATCTTCTATTGAGTTCAAATTTCATGTAGCTCTGTATTTTAATAAAGGCTAACCTAATCTGTATAATATTGGACTTTTTTCAGTGGACCCAAGATACAGGTGGTAAAATGGTGCTCTGAAAAGGAGACTATCTGACAAGCAATTAAAGCAGAGCCTTGGTAAGCTTTTAAGCAAGACCGTGTAATACAGTCTTGTGAAGCATATCCTGGAGTTAGTACCTGCTGTTTAGACTATTTGGTCATGATAGGTTAAGTGGCCCTTTAGGCCTCACTGTTTACATAACTTTATCCTTTATCCATTAAACATGCAAGGGTTTAAAACTAATCTGTATATCTAGTGTAAATTAAGTACTAGAGCTAGTACTCTTCTGGCATTTTTCCTTTCTTGAACTTGTTTTTTCACAGTGGTTGTCTAAGATAGTATATGTTGGATTGTTATGCAGTTGTAGACTACTTCACATAATGCTGTGACAATTAAAAGGCTCTCATTGCTGGGTACTGTTTGTGCTCTGTGAGGAAAGGCTGGTGGAACCTCACCCTTCAAATTATAAGAACACAAGTTCAGTTGTCATGTCAGATTTAACATTAGTACATTGTGGCACTATGTAACTGCAAGCAGTGGCAAGACCAGCTTTTCAGCTCACACTTAGAGTAGTGTCTGAAGTAACAAGAAATATGCTTTAATGATTGCTAGTTGACTAAAAGATGAAAATACT